TTGTATTTTATCCTGGCTAACAGACACTCTATGTAATTATGGTGCATCACAAAATTGCACAGATATCATCAGGCTGTTCACCAAATATGCTTGTGTTTGGCCAAGAAGTTGTACTCCATGTAAATATGATTTATAGTCTCCCACTTAGAGCAAATATCCCACAATCTACACAACAATGTGGAGTGGCTAAGGCCTGCATTAGTTCACATGCATGAGTTTGCAGTGAAGAAGACGACGTACAAAAGTGGAGACTGGTGTGTGGCTTTGGTATGTTCCAGCAACCCAGAAGTCTTTTGACTCTGGCTGGACAGTACCTCATATTTTGCTGCGATGAGTTGGCCCATTAACATACAAGTGACTGAAGTTGAGAGGCATGCAAAAGCGTGTAGTACATATCGACCAGCTTCATCCATATGTGACCAATGGCGTGTGTAAGCTGGCTTGACCAAGTTTCAAAAGAGGATGTAATAAAGTCTGCTAATGACGGGACCGCTGATTTACTTCACTCCAATCATGAATATGAGGATGAAACAGCTGAGAGTACTTATTTTGTTGTCTAGGATGAGTCAGATGAGGAAACACCAAATACAGAGGTGTGATACAGTGTCAACGGTTCATGAACTGCCAATGATGACCTGCCAATTGATATGGTTGGAAATATACTCCAATCTCCCTGAGAGAATATCACTTTTAATTGTGAGAAGAATCTGCAGCACAACAGGCAGATCAACCAGGCAAGAAAGAAGAGTAACTAGCATATGGACCGACCATTACACGTGAAGAAACTGTAGACAATATTACTGTATGTGGGTAATCCAGGTATACAAAATGTGGAAGAGAAAAAAGAAATTTATATACTTTGCAATAGAAAACTGATGCACTGAAAGTGAGGTGTAAATTCCTAGAAAAGTGGATTATTGTAACAAAGTATTAAATAAATACTGCTGTTAACATTGACATTGCTGGTCCATTGTCCCAAACTCGTGCTGGAAACAACTACATTTGTGTGGTGATGGATTATTTCACCAAGTGGCCTGAGGCATATGCAACACCAAATCAGGAAGCTACAACTGTAGCTTCGGCTACTGGTGATTTCTTTTTCAGATTTGGTATGCCATATGAACTGCATTCAGATCAAGGCCGTAACTTCGAATCAGCTGTGTTCCAAGAATGCTACAAGTTATTTGGCATCCGAAAGACCAGGACAATGTCACTCCACCCACAATCTGATGGGATGGCAGAAAAGTACAATTCGACACTGGGACAGGAATGGGCAAAGTTTTGTAATAGTCACCAAGATGACTGGGATGTCTTACTCCCTCCGCTGTTGATGGCCTACAGAACAGCAGAGCATGATGCCATTGGATACACTACAGCAAAGCTGATGTTTGGTCGGGAACTTCGGTTGCCAGTGGACCTTATAATAGGATGCCCACCTTATGAAGAGTTGCCTCAAAATGTGTCCGAGTTCGTGAAAGTATTATTTGAAAGGATGGATGATATTCATCATCAAGTGCGTTCAAACTTGAAAGCGTCTGCTGATTCCATGAAGCTATGTTATGATAAGAGATCTACTAAAGTCAGCTTTTTACCAGGAGACAAGGTGTGGTTGTATAATCTCAGGAAGACCAAAGGGATGTCTCCTAAATTGCCTTCTCCATGGGAAGGCCCATATGACATAGTGGATCGTCTCTCAGACGTGACTTTCCGAATAAAATGTGGTCGGCGAGATAAGCCAAAGATGGCGCATGCCAACAGGCTTTGGCGTTATCATGGTCCAGGACATTTCACTTGGAACGAAATGAACAACAGAACAAATGATGCTGCTGAAGACATGTCACTTGAAAAAGCCACTGTTTAACGAAGAAACTCTACCCGGTTGTGAGAAGGAGAACACTGATACTGTTAATGAAGTTACTACCACGAATGTGACTACTACCGATAATGGGACATTTCCTGATGAAGCAAATGAACCCCACTTGATGCAGAAGCCAATGAGACAGAGACCAGTGTGAAAGAAGAAACGTCCTGTAAAATTAAGAGACTTTGTTGTATTTTAATTTTGTGTTTGTAAATTCTGTACATTTAATTAAGTTATTTTTAATTATGTAGTGGTTTAATGTAAATGGCTATTGTTTGGGATGAACAATGCTGTTGCGTCGGCGAGGTCACGTGACTAGTGTCACGCCACCTCTCGAACCTTCGGGAATAGTCGGGAGATTACTAGATATAGGGTAGCTGGTATATATATAAGAGGGTGACAACGTGACGGGACAATGTGTGTATAGACAGTGAGTAATTGATCTGCAGTCAGAGAGTATTATTGAAGTTGAACACGTTCGTTGTTATAGCGTTTGTTTTAGCGCGATTGTTGAAATTAAGTGTATCGTAAAGTTATATTCGGAAAGAATAAACCAGTTTTATTAAGTAAGGACTTGTGTCGCTAAAGTTTCGTGGGAACGAATTTACGGAAAATCAATTAACAAACGGAGACGTAACAATACTAAGGAAGGGGTAGTGTTAAGACAGTGGAAGTCACGTGACGCTGCTGGCGCGTTTGGCACTGTTAGCGTGCATGAAATTTCTCGAATGATCATCAATCATCGGGGAGCTCCGAGTGCATTCTAGACGCCCCCCTTCTTTAGTATATAAGCCTGGTGAGAAAAGCCAGCGGCAATGGAATGTATGTTAAAACGAACAGTAGTCACGATAAGTTATCGAGATTGTGAATCGCTGTGATTTATAGCATGTATTATAAAAGTCGTTTCGATGAAAATGACGAGAAATACACTGACTGTGGAAATTCTGTGTACTAATAGTTTGTATCGAGAAAGAATAAACTGGTTTAATCAAAAAAGGACTTGTATTGCTGAAGTAAAGAAATTCTACCGGAAATGAACAAACAAGCAGATACGCAACAATATTATGTTAAGTGATAGTGGTTAGAGCAAGTTATTTCAATATTCGAAAAAACATGAATACAAGGATATTTCAAAAACTGTTGATAAAATGGCTTAGTGGTTACAGCGCTCACTTATGCTTTGAAAGTTTGGAGTTAAAATCTTACTTGAGTCGGGATTTTTTATTATTACTAGTTTTTAACAAATGTTCGTATTCACAGCAGGCCCTTTCAATACAATTATAGGTTAAATCAGGGATTTGATATATTGGTTAATATTCGAATTTAAAGATGGCATGTTTACAGCATCAAGCCACTCCAGCTTTTCAGTTCAGTTCAACTCCATCTATGAAGTAAATTCTAAAGTAAAATTCTGAATAAAACTAAAAATAGTTCAGAAACAGTGCAAGAAAAAACACACATACAAAAACGCCAATTAGCAAGAGAAAGAAAGAGTAGATGGATGGTACGACAAAATAAAGAAAGTTTAGCAAACATTGAGATAACTGAGGCAGAGAAAGAACAACTGACACTGTCAAATGAAGCCCTTGGAGAAATAAACCAAAGAAGACAAACTGACGATGAAAAACAAGCAAATAGGTTCTGGCCCACCTATGTCTTCCCCGTGCATTGAATGGGTACACCAGCTAGTATATTGTTACGTCTCCGTTTGTTAATTGATTTTCAGTGACTTCGTTCCGACGAAACTTAAGCGACGCAAGTCCTTTCTTAATAAAACTGATTTATTCTTTCCGAATATAACTTTACCGATACACTTAACTTCAACAATCTCGCTAAAACAAACGCTAATCAACGAACGTCAACAATACTTCTGACTGCAGTTCAATTACTCACTATCTACACACACATTACATTACCTTCTCGCGTCACGTTTTCCCCCTCTTATATATACCAGCCTACCCCATCTAGTATATACTAGAGCATTCGCCAAAGTACATGATAGTTCTAGAAACGTTGCGTCACAATAGTCACGTGACTCGCTGACGCAACAATATATATATAATTTTATATATTGTTACGTATCTGGTCGTTTGTTAATTTCTGGTATAAATTCTTTCCGATGAATTTCAACGATACAAGTTCTTTCTTAATTAAAACTACTTTATTCTTTCTCGATACAACATTGTAATACACTGAATTTCCACAGTCACTTTAAACTTAACAGCCTTTATAACACACGCTATAAATCGCAGTGATTCACACATTTTATTTACGGTGCCTACTGTTCGTTTGACTCAATTATCTATCTCTTCAATCTATCAAAATCTTTTCTTTATTTGTCGGGCTTATATACTAAAAAAGAGGGCGTCCCGACAAACTTGGAAATTCACGATCATTCCAGAACTCCTCGCACACGCTACCAGCGTCACGTGGCTTCCGGTGTCGTAACAATATTCGTAAAACCAGATCAAGTGTGATAAACGACAATAACGATAATAATAATTCCCCCTACGAATTTTTCATCAACTTTCTTTGTTTTAGCTTCTTGAGCGTATAATAATAACAGAAGTAATTGTTTTAAAAGCATCTTGTTTACATTGGTTACTTAGCGTTCAAAATAAAAAGTAATGAAAACTGCACACTGTAATTCTTAATAACAGTATAAAAAGTAAATGTGATTGGTGCGAACTGGTTGTCTACTGTGGTCGATAGTTAGAGGCGGCGCGACGCTATCTGAACCTCCTACTGACAAATTTATGACAGCGGTGGGTAGGAAAAACCCATTATTTAATTTTTGTAGTGCATATGGGTGTGTAGAAGACATATTAATACTAGAAATAAACGACATTATAACACCAAAATATTGTTTTTATCTAATTAGACACTCAACGTTTCGCTTTTCAGCTTCTTCAGGAGCGTTCACAAAAACACAAACTAAAACTTTGAACGGTATTTCGGTTTTGAAGAAGCTTTTATCATTCAACCTGTTACTACAAAAGATTCACTATCCTCAAATAAGTAACTCATGTTTTTACCGGGCGTGTGATTGATGTGCAAAAGCAATTTAAAGATCTTGTGACTACCTTTGAAATCTGATTGGCCAGCAGGTATCGTGACGCAATGTTGTTACAGAGAAATGTGACTCAAACTTGAGTCAAGCTTTTCTAGCGGTAGTAGACGTCAATTATTGATACTAACAGCAGAGGTTGTTTTATTTAAGTTTTAAGCCTTAACTTAGTTTAAGTAAGCATGATTGTTTCGGAATGTCTTTAACTTCAGAAGTTCCAAGGTAAATATTTACCTTATTTTGAAATTAGGTGTTTAAAAACTTGTAGGTTTATAAATTACGTGCGAAATAGTTTTAAAATAAAATTTAAAAGTTTTGTAATCAGTTTTCGTCTGTACCTAACTAAAACTAAAGTTAATTTAACTTTAAAGTTAAAAGTAACTTCCTGGAAATTAGATTCCAAATTGATAATAATAGATTGAATATTATTAGTATTAACTATGCAGTGTATAACAGTTTGTGACGTATAAATTATTACTTTACAAAGTATTTATCCATTAAGATGTCAACTTAAAATATTAAATTTACTCGGTCATATATGTTGATACCGGGCATAGCGTAGCTTGTTTGACGGGATTTTTTAGTTTGAAGTGATTCAGCTGTGATTTTAAATTTAAGCTAGTCTTGAATTATCCGATGAAGAAACTAGAAATGGGATACGTAACGTAAATTGCATATTTAGAAGACATTTTCTTAATCTGATGAGAGTATTACATACGGACACTGGGCACAAATTATGCTACACCATGCCATAAATATTATTAAAATGATTGGTCGTTTTTAAGAACCGAACATGAAATATCTGAGTTAATTAGATATGGAGCCTTTGGCTGATTCAAATGAACAATGACATTTTGTTACATACTTGATAAAATATCTTTATAACTTTATTCAAGAAGTTCATACACTGATACAGGATGTCCGACGTATATTATGTCAGAAAATTTGTTGCGAAATGACAATGGCAATCCTTTAGAAGAATATGTGTGATGATATTATTAATAAACTGGTAATTGTATGAAATAACCCTACTAGTAGTGCAGAGACTTGCACAGTTTGCATTACTAGTAGGGTTACATAAGTAGGGGAGAAAGTAAAACCTCTGACTGTTATAACTTATAAGATTAAAAGTTATTGGTGAGCAAGACTACATTCAGAGTTTTAAAGCTTTGATATCTTATACCTTTTTATTTTTTTTCACAGCACAAAGAAATCACTTAAGACCATCCAATTTCTTACAAAGTCACCTTTAGTTCTTTCAGATTTCAGAGAAAATTAAACTTTAGGCTTTTCTTTGTTGTTTTAGTTTCTTAAACCAGGAAATTTTATTTCTCAAACAAAATGGTCAGCTTGTGAAATAGGTTGTTTTTGAATGTGGTAGATGCAACAATGTTGGCTAAGTTTGAAAGAAAGCTTGATGATGGTTCTAGTAGTCAATTTTTTCACTATTTTAAACAGACTGATTTTTTCTGTAATGAGGAGCTTCAAAATGTAAGAGGCCTCATCAGATCTAATAATAATTTTCTATAGATAGGATCTGGACTTCAATTCAGCTTGTCTTTTTCACTGTGGAAAATATTGGAATTGTCCTGAATCATGTAAATATTAATTCCTTAGTAGAAACTGTAATGATTAATAAAATAAAAATATATGAAACACCAGAATCAGACAAGATTTCCCCCAGGATGTTAAAGGAAGTCAAATATGAGATATGCAAGCTTCTCTCTTTCATTTTTGATAGGTCAGTAGACAGTGAGCAGATGCTTAATGGTTGAACAAAGTCAGATGTTATTTCAGTTTTAAATTTAAAGAAGATGATTAGAGAGAGTTGGTCAGTTACTTTTATTTCTGTAGTAGAAGCAAATTTTCATTAAGAGTGGTAGAAAAAAGGGAAATCTTGCCTTACTGATTTATCTTTTTCAAGGATGTTACTTGTTTTCTGTATGATGGAAGGGTTGTGGATTGGAGTACTTAGAAAAGCTTTCAATAACTTACCACAGAATGGGTTAACTGAGAAAATCACATTGGTAAGGGTTAAGACAAGAATAATTAATTGTAGGGTGGTTGGATGGGAGAAAGTAAAAGGCTGTCTGTGCTTCAACCATTGCTTTTTGTTATTTAATGATATTGTTGCAATGGCTTCTGTTGTCAGATGGATATGTTTTGATTATTCATTTAAAATAATTACAAGTTCATTTTATTTCTTAATCTAAAAGTTATAACTTGCACAGTTACACAAATTAAAAATTTTGGCTCAGGCTGTTGTTTTTCTCAACCAAGTTTGGTCTTATCTATTTCTCTATACCTACTCCCTTATTTGTCTCCTCCTTCTGGCCATTGGAATTATATACTGCTACAATCCTTTTTGGACCTTGATCAGCTTGATAGTTGGACTTTCCATTATTCTTCCCATTATTCTTTCTATTTCTTGCTTCACACTTTTCTTCATAGAATGTTAACCTCCCTCCACCATCATGCATGGAATTTGCTCTATCTGTCACCCATTAGGCTTAAATTTTCACTAATGTGGCATTATTCTTCTAACATTCTTGTTGTTCTTCCACTGTATATGTCTCACCTTCTGTGGCAGGTCTTTTTTCATTGGTTCTTCTGGCATTCATTTCCTCCTGGCAATAATTCTGTACATCGCCTTTCTTACTTGACTATTTATCAATAGATTCTTGGTCTTAACCTTTCCTAGTTGTCAGGTGGCCTAGTCTGTGACCTTTTTCCTTTTCTGATACAAACTGTTTCTTCCCCTGTCTTTTCTACTATGTTCTGCTTCTTTAGTCAAGCGAACAGTAGGCACCGTAAGTAAAGTGTGTGAATCACTGCGATTTATAGCGTGTGTTATAAAGGTTGTTAAGTTTAAAGTGTGTAATTCTGTGTATTACTAAAAGTTGTATCGAGAAAGAATAAATTGGTTTAATCAAGAAAAGACTTGTATCGCTGAAGTTCCTTGAAAGTAATTTCTACCAGAAATTAACAAACAAGCAGATACGCAACCATACATTTTTAAATATTCAATATAAACATATTCCTAATAGAAATAAAAGGGTAGCTACAAATAAAAAACCAGGTTGGCTCACAAAGAGTTTAAGAAATAAAATTAAAGAAAAGCATCATAAATTTAAGAAATTTAATTGACTGGTATGACAGGAGACTTAGAAGATTTTAGACGATCAAGAAAGTTGGTGAAACAGGAAATTAAGACATCAAAAAGGATGTATGAGAAAAAGTTATGTGAAAATGTAAAAATTAACAGTAAGGATTTCTTTAAATTCATTAATGGGAAACAAAATGTTAGGATAGAGATAAGACCCTTGAGGGGTGATAAAAGAAGGCTAGTATCTGATGATTATGAGATGGCTGGGTTATTAAATTTAATTTTTTTCTGTGATTTTTACTACTGAAGATTTAAGCAGTATTCCACATCTTGATCAGTTGATAAATGGAAACAAGATCAAACAAGATGATTTTATTAATTCTGAGCTGGTTAAGAAAAAATTGGGAAGTTTAAAAAATGATAAGGCTTCTGAGCCAAATAATATTTC